ACACACACATAAAAAACCGGAGGACCTATTTTCGTTTTTTACTGATTACCATTTTAATTGATTGAAATGAGCATGAAAAGGGATGTCGGGGTATTAGTCCCCCTGTTGGGGTTACTAACCCCCTGTCGGAAGTTCCCTTTCGTGGAAGAGCTGGCCCACCACTGCAACTCATACGATCGAAATAGTATACAACACCTCGCACATACGGTAGCACTGCTCGCACTAAACAGTTAATCCATAAAATGTTGACATCTTAGTAAGACATGCTTGAATTGTACTTTTGATTGAAATGAGCATGATTCAGGTACGAGGGGGAAGTTTCAAAACCGTTCTAATCAATTTATTTTGGCAAATTTGTTATTTGAATTTAGTTATTTTTTTTAGTTATGGTACTGTACAGTACCAAAAAGCACCTAGATAACATTCTACCATAACTGAGTAATTCAACTGTCTACCGTACTCATCTCTCATCTACATATTGCATTTCTAAGTAAAAACTAATCCCAGAATTTACTTTATAAATATCTCTATTAGCCATTTCACCTGTAACAGTATGATGGTCTAATTCCATCACAAGATATAAAATAGAGGTTATAGTCTGAATTGAGTATTATTACAGTACAAATAATGTTCATATACATTTGAGTTAACCCGTGTTCCAAATATGATTCTGTCTTATCTAAATGAGGAGAAAATTATTATCTACTAACCATTTATTAACTTCAGTGAGTTATTCATTTAATACCAATCTAATTTCATTCCTATCTTTACCTTTACTTAATAATAATTTTACTTAATAACGATTTTACCTTTACTGCTGCCGTCACGTCATTAACATACAATGCCCAAAATAATAAGTGGCCAAAAATACATTGGGGACCCCCACATTTTATATCCACCGCTTCATAACCGCAAGGGAAAGGCGCAATATAAATACCCATTACCAGCACCAGTCTGAAATGGTACCATTCTACCTTTAAATATGAAATCAGCCAACTCACTACCTCTTTATTAACGGGTGTCCCGAAAGCTCAGACCACGAAAGCTAAGACCTAAGACCACGA